GGGATGTGGTCCGAGAGAGTGGAGTAGGTCAGGGAGCTGCCCTCATCGCTGCTGCTGATGTACTCGCTGCTGCTGACATCGTTGGTGACGTAGCTGCCCTGGTCATCGTGGAAACTCATCTGGGTGAGGGAGAGAGGAGAGGCTGAAGGTGGCACCTCATCCTCCACCCACCCAGCCCTCGGGGGTGTCCTGCCCCCCAGCCATGCAGCCCTTGCCCCCCTCCGCCACCCGCAGAGCCCCAGGACGTGTCCCCAGGGGCTCTGCACCCGTCCCGGTGCAGTGCAGGCTGCACAAAGGATGCTCCACGACCAGGACAGACAAAGACCGTGCACCGAGCCACCCCTGCGCCACGCTCACCTCCTCGTAGTCGTTCTCGGGGGTGAGGAAATCATCCACGATGGTGACCCGGTGTCCCAGCTGCTCACTGAGGGCATCCAGGAATCGGTCGGTGTCGCGGCTGCGCGGGGGCCTGGAGAAGGTGAAGAGCTTCTTCCGTCGCGACAGAGGGCTGAGCGAGTAGTCCCGGTGCTTGGGGGACGGGGCTGGGCTGCTGTCGAGGCTGACATAGGGGTTGGACTCGGTGCTGCTCGGGGAAGCCACGCTGCTGTGCAGGCGGTAGTAGCACTGCTGGGAGGCCAGAGGGTCGCTCGGCCACGAGATCGCCATCCCCGGCTTGCGAGCACCTGCGGGACAGAGCGCTGTCGAGGGGGGTCCTGCACCCGGTATTCCCCGGAGCCCCCCACCCACGGGCTGCAACGAGCCCCAGCACCGTGCTGAATGTGACGCGAGATAACGGTGCAGCCTGCGGGGAGGAGAGATCCCCCGGGCAGTGCCCTGCGCTGCACAGCAGTGCGCCGGGGTCCCGCGGGATTTGCCATCCCACACGCTCCGCTGCCCTCCTGCAGATGCAGCTTTGCAGGAGCCCTCGCTGGGCTCACACGTGGCACTGTCACTGCTTAGTTATAAAATGGCACCAAGAGAAAGATGTCTTCCCCTCCGCCTGCCTGGCCAGCACCATCCACCATCGCCTGAGACCCCCCCCAAAACTGCCTCTCTCATGCCGTGGGAAGCGGGATGCTACCTGCAGCGTGTGCCAGCTCTGGGGCAGGAGGCGATGCTCTGTGCAGGGCAGCGTTCCCCATCTTGCCAGCAAAGCTGCCGATCAGGCGGTTTTCTAATTCTGCGTAGACAGCTGACATCTGAAAAAAAGGGCAAAGAGCTGCTGTCGGTGCCCAAATCGAGAGGGGGCTCGTGGAGCCCCCGAGACCTGTGATGTGCTGGGGACAGGACAGTCACCGCGGACCCGCCAGCCCCCAGTCTCTTACTCTTTAAAGGAGTGCTTCACCCCAACCCAAGGCTACTCTGCCTTTTCTGAAGCTCCCCAAGAACCTCTCACTCAGCACGGCTGCAGGAAGACGCTGACAGACACCAGCCTTATTAAAGCTGACTAATTGCCCAGGGAAGAGATCTCAGAGACGAGCTCTGAGGCAGGGGTGTTGTCAGCCACCAGCAGGTATTTACCTGCAGACACATCCTTCCCCCGTTGCCTTTTTTCTGCTTTCCTACGTTAACATGAAAGGAGTCAAGCTGTTGACCCTCCCTGTGAACGCAACGGTCCCGCACATGTGGACAAAGCGCTTCCTAGAGGCGTCCCCCCCCCCAGCCCGACAAGGTCGCACCATTTTGGGGTTGGGCGTCTCCGGGAGGGATGTGCCGTCGCCAGCCTGTCTCTCTCCAGGGATCAGGCGAACCGAAGACGCTGACAGACACCAGCCTTATTAAAGCTGACTAATTGCCCAGGGAAGAGATCTCAGAGACGAGCTCTGAGGCAGGGGTGTTGTCAGCCACCAGCAGGTATTTACCTGCAGACACATCCTTCCCCCGTTGCCTTTTTTCTGCTTTCCTACGTTAATATGAAAGGAGTCAAGCTGTTGACCCTCCCTGTGAACGCAACGGTCCCGCACATGTGGACAGCGCTTCCTATAGAGGCGTCCCCCCCCCCAGCCCGACAAGGTCGCACCATTTTGGGGTTGGGCGTCCCCGGGCGGGGCGGCGCGTCCGCACC